GGGGGGGGGGGAGAAAGAGACAGAGAGCGAGAGAGATAGACAGACAGACAGACTGACTGATAGACAGCCAGTCAGATCTTCGACATTCCGTTGCTAACCTAACTCCCGGCTCTTTTTCCCGAAGTTCCTAAGATAAAAAAGTAATAAGAAATTCTTTGAGGGTTTCTATGACCTACGTGACGGGGGAAAAACTGTCTTGGTGAAAAAGAAACGTTCTTGTAAAGTATTTCTATGATTCTAAATTATAATGACAGTTTCAACCGCATATATATTTTGTCATGTTTTTCATTACCTAAATGGCATTATGATGTATAACTTGTGAACTTTGCTTCAGAAATCCACTACTGTCGACTACAACCGCATGTTTCATGCCCTGCAACTTTGCATAGACCTTTTCAATATCAATTTAACCCAATAGATAGGTTGCATTTCAATGCACGAAGAGGATATAAGCAATTTAATAATACTGCCAGTGCAGTAATCCAGACTACTACCTTGTTGCCATGCAAGCCGGAATGCAAGATACTTGCAAAGAGCCGGTTGCACACGAGGTTGCAAGTGTGGTTGGCGGGAAGGGGGAGAGAACACAGGCTTATCTTACACCTGGCTCAACAACCTTGCTAACACCTTTCTTCATATGTATAAACATATATATATATATATATATATATATATGTATATATATATATATGTATATATATATATATATATATATATATATATATATATATATATATATATAGTGCATGTGTGTATGTATGTGTGTGTGTGTGTGTGTGTGTGTGTATGTGTGTGTGTGTGTGTGTGTGTGTGTGTGTGTGTGTGTGTGTGTGTGTGTGTGTGTGTGTGTGTGTGTGCATAAACACACACATACATACATACATTCTACATACATGAGGAGGACACGTTTTTGACCTGTACAAGTGACGTATCGTGATTTATCATTATCATCATCGTTAAAGGAACTATAGGGATTCAACCATACTCATCGCGTAGAAGGGAGTTGATGAACAGCGTATCCAGAATTAGCCTGTCTCAAAATAGGCATTGCACCAACCAAAGAGAAAAAAAAATGTAAATCCTGCATCAACACAATGCAGTTTACAATATCGTCCCTCCTTCATGTAAGCGCGCGTCCTCCCATTAATTACAAGGGAACAGTAGGGCATCGTAAGCGAAAGAGTGTCATGCATTTATGAAATATATAACAAATAAGGGAAAAAATATCGCAATTAAAAAAAAAGATAAAATAAAATGACGCGTGGAATTCCGCCTGCATAAAGTCCGCACTGGAAAAGAATAATCCATTGAAAAATCCCACCAATCACGACGCTCGAAGATCCCCACTACGTCATCGTCTAGCCGCCAATGATATTACAGTATAGATGACATCATCTCTCAACCTAACCAACCAAATACTCGAATTAATGATGTCATCCAATAAATTCACCAATCATCGATGCCGGGAATGCGACGTCACCGAAAAGGCGTCCGCTGATTGGCTCATTCGCCCGACCCAAGCTTCTAGAAATGTCTCCGCGACGTTAGGCAGCAACAGGCGGCGTGCGGCACCACTCCTCTCCCGACGACGAAGGAGGTCACACGCTTCAAGATAAAAAGGTCTCAATTCCGACGTGAGTATCGAATCTCGTGAGAAACGTAAGAATATTGTCCTTCTAAACATGGGGATCCACCGTGTCGCTTTCTTTCAAGATGACACTCGTTATTTCGACTCCAAAAATTGCCATTTTATTTTGCAACGGCACTGGCACTCACAATCCAGCGTTTCTAGACCGCGACGGGGGAAGAAAATATAAAAAAATAAATATACTTCATGAATTTCTTACTTTCTCGTAATCACAGGCCAGTTCTCTCGATTTCCAAGAAGCCTTTGCAACCCGAGAGAAGGAATGTCATCTCGAAATAAAGCGATTTTAAAAGGGAATAATTTCAACGCCACGAGGCACCGAGGGGCGTGGTTGCCATGTTGCACGGAGGCCTCTTTGCAACAGAAACGTCGAGAACCTTTAGGATGAAGGCTTTATTAACTAATTGTATTTCTTATTTTTATTTTATTTATTCATTTTTGTTTGAGTTTCTTTTAACCGTTTTTTCCCTTCTATTTTTTTTCTTTTTATTTATTTGTTTCTTTTATCCTTTTCGTTGTTGCGTATTTTTTTCTCAACTTTTGGCAAATTTTCTTACAAATTTAATCCTTTGCATATTTTCCGATATTTTATTCGTTTTTTTCGGTTTATGTATTTATTATAACGTCTTCCTTATTCGCCTTCTTCAAATATTTATTCAAAAGAAGGAAATAAATAATTCAGCAAAATAATAAGTGATAGGCAAAGAAAAGAAAAAAAATAAATAACGATAAATTCTATTCTTGGATAAGCTGAGGTGAAGTTACATCTAGAGGACCGCTTTTTTCAGTAGGCGAGATAATTAAAAAGAAATTTGTCTATCATGAACCTAGTAATAGAAAAAAAAGGAAAACGTAACTTGATTAAATTCCTGTTAAGCATTTTGCAGAAGTAAGTGTATTGCAGAAGTCGGTTAAACTTGGACTACGTGTTATGACGCCTCACCCCTTCCCTCTTTCTCCCTTTTCTCTCTTCCTCTCCCTCTGTTATTTCTTCTTCCTTCCTTCTTGCTCTTCTTCCTCTCCCACCCCACAGATTCCCCCTTCCCCCTACCAACGTTTCTCTCTCTCTCTCTCTCTCTCTCTCTCTCTCTCTCTCTCTCTCTCTCCCTCTCTCCCTCTCTCCCTCTCTCCCTCTCTCCCTCTCTCCCTCCCTCCCTCCGTCTCCCTTCCTTTCCCTTTTTCTCTCTCTCTCTCTCTCTCTCTCTCTCTCTCTCTCTCTCTCTCTCTCCCTCTCTCCCTCTCTCCCTCCCTCCCTCCCTCCCTCCCTCCCTCCCTCCCTCCCTCTCCCCGTCTCCCTTCCTTTCCCTTTTTCTCTCTCCTTTTCTCCTTTCTTCCCTTTCCACCCTCCCTCCCCGAATAGATAGAGGGAGGGAGTATATAAATATATAAAGATCGGGGATAACTGTTTAGACAGTAATATCGAAGCAACCGACTACATCACAGTTTCCACGAGAGAAGGGTCCGGAAAAAAAAGGACAAACGCCTTAACGTGTAACAGGTCGCACCGAGCTAACCTAATCAGCATCGCCGGTTCCTTCTTTATATGTTAATTAACCCATTGCCGCTTGGGGAAATGAATAAAAAAAATGGGGAAAATGCTGTGTACATTTTAAATCTTTATTATTTTATTATTATTACTATTATTATTATTATTATTATTTGTGTGTGTGTGTGTGTGTGAAATGTCTCTACACATAGATGGCTCTGCCTTGCCTGATTTCACCTTTCCTTGAATTGGCGGGAATTTTTTTTTTTTTTTTTTTTTTTTTTTAATTAGTGCTATGAATATCGATGGTGTTATTTTTATTATAAACATGATAATTACTATAATGTCTTAAACATTAATGATAGCAAAATAAGATAACGTAAAATATTTTCGTAAATTAAAGAAAAGGGTAAACGGGCGAGAAAGGCAGTACTCGTAATTGGCTCATTAGTGATTTAGTACAAGTGTAGCCATCTATGTGGAAAAACAATTAAACAAGTACACACAGTGGGCATAGTATGGACGTACGTGATATGCCCGTCGCGAATGGGTTAATGTTGACGCCTGCAGGCATATGCAGCATGAATTAGATAATATCTATTTTTTTCTTTTCTCCTCATTTCCTGTCTTCCTCTTCACTCTTTTATTGTCCCCTTCTTCGTTCCCCTCTCCACCAGTCCTGCCCTCCCTCTTTCCCCTCCTTCCTCCTGAGGTCCTTGGCCACCCGGTATTCGTGTCACGTGATTCACCGGACAGAAAATGAGGGCGTGTGAGAGAGAGGATTTCGCTGATAAAAGACTAATTGCTGGTTATATTCAGCAACGACCCCGTTTGTAGAACTTGCATGATTGTTTCATGAGTTTCTCTATTTTTCCTTTTTCCTTTTTTCTTTTCTGCTTTCTTTTTCTCTTTCTCTTTCTCTAAGTTTTCTCCTTTTTTTTTCTTTCTTTTCTTTAAGTGTGTTAGTTGGTCACGGTTTTATTTCCTTAACCTGGAACAGTGGCAAGCTGTCAATAATATAATACGAAAACAGGTTTTGTGTCATTTGTTCCCTCCCTCTTCATTCCTCCCCTTTCTTTCCCCCTTTTCCATTTTCTTTTCTTTTATTTATTTACTCTTCTCTCTGCCAACTACCATCGCCTTGCCTCGCGCTCGTCTTTGTCCGATTATTATCTACGTTTCTCGCTCTTTCTCTCTTTAGTCTCTATCTAACCTTGATGTTACAGTGTCCCTTTTATGACGAGGGTTGATATTGAGCGATCGCTTGAGGAGCTGGACGATAATGAGTATCCTTTTGGTGAGTCACGGGCGAGTGACGCAGCCCACGCTCGCACTCAGGGCCCGTTAAGGTCACTCAAGGATCAGCGCACGTGCCGCTTTCACCCTTAATGACCTTACGCCTATATTTGGGTCTCGTCTTTCGAGTTGATTTAACAATCCTTGTTATTGGGTAGTGATTATTTGAATATGTTTGTTTTATATACTGTTTTCTGTGTAATGTATGTTTGAAGTCTTAAGTGTTGCGATATAAAAAGGAGTCTGTTCAGCTCGATTTGTTTTCCTTTATTTTATTTTACTTTTTAATTTTCAATCGACTGTTCATATTGGCACTGGCGCCTGACGGAGTCCTTGGGTTTTAAGAAAACTCTGCGAGTCAGAAATAAAAAGGTTGATTGGTGGTTGAGTCCCAGTTGCGTGCCGTGGAGAGTGGAAGGGGGGGAGGGGGGAGCGAGGACGGCCAAGGAGTGCGTTCAAAGGGGTCATCGAGTCCTCAGAACTACCCAAGTTTCGAAAGGAGCTTCAGAGACGAGCTGTCAGTAATAGAGTTGATTTCAACTTACGATTGGATTAAATTGCTCAATTCACTCTTTGAACAGTGCTGGGAAATTATATTGCCTTAGATGCATCTCAAAGTTAATCAAAGCCGTCATAGTAGGGATAACATCCAAATTCAGGTTATCTTGGCCACAAAAGGGTAAAGGGTACATCCCACGATGCTGAAGGGTTGACGGACGTAGGTGGTGAGAGAGAGAGAGAGAGAGGCATCACATACATTTGGCAGCATTGGTTGACATGACTAACAGAATTTCTTCGTAGTAACCAAGTGCCTTCTCTATCTAGCGTTTTCACTTCTATCTAGGGAAGGGTCCACATATCACACTCCCTAAGTGCTTTGGCGAAAGAGGAATTGACAATTTGTTTTCGGTGTCCGCGAACATTGTTCTTCTGGCACTTCCTCCACTTTTGTTAGTAATGCTGAAACTGCATTCAGTGCAACGCTTCCTTCATTACTATATATAGTTACCATGTTCCTATATTTTGTTCTGGAATGATTCCCAGTTTTTGCATAGGTTTACGTAATTCTCATGTTAACATTGAGAGCATTACTATGGTTATAAATTTATTGCTATTCTGTGCTTCACTTTTTTTCTTGTTTCAACTCTTAAAATAGAATATTGCGCACCGGGAAATAGTAATACATCCTTATTTTTTACTGATGCTCATTCATATTAATTTGTATAAACATTTCAGATCATGGTTAAGGCAGTGGGAATCGACCTGGGAACAACGTACTCCTGCGTCGGAGTCTTCCAGCATGGCAAGGTGGAGATCATCGCCAACGACCAAGGCAACCGCACCACGCCTTCCTACGTCGCCTTCACGGACACAGAGCGCCTCATTGGAGATGCGGCCAAGAATCAGGTCGCTATGAATCCCAATAACACTGTGTTCGATGCCAAACGATTGATTGGGAGGAAATTCGAAGACTCGTGTGTGCAGGGGGACTTGAAGCACTGGCCCTTCAACGTGATCAGCGATGGAGGCAAACCCAAGATCGCGGTGGAGTACAAAGGAGAGAAGAAGACCTTCTTCCCAGAGGAAATCTCTTCGATGGTTCTCATCAAGATGAAGGAAACAGCAGAAGCCTATCTGGGAGGAATCGTCAAAGATGCGGTTATTACCGTTCCTGCATATTTCAATGATTCGCAGAGACAGGCAACTAAGGATGCTGGTACAATTGCCGGCCTCAATGTCTTGCGTATTATCAATGAGCCAACAGCAGCCGCCATTGCGTATGGCCTTGACAAGAAAGTGGGAGGTGAACGAAATGTTCTTATCTTCGATCTGGGAGGTGGGACGTTCGATGTCTCAATCCTTACTATTGAGGATGGCATCTTCGAAGTGAAGTCAACAGCTGGAGACACTCACCTGGGAGGCGAGGACTTCGACAACAGACTTGTCAACCACTTCATGAATGAATTCAAGCGCAAGTTCAAAAAGGACTTCACCGACAACAAGCGTGCTGTTCGCCGCCTTCGCACAGCATGTGAACGAGCGAAGAGGACACTTTCTTCATCTACGCAGGCCAGCATCGAGATCGATTCCCTGTGTGATGGCGTGGATTTCTATACCTCCGTCACTCGTGCTCGCTTTGAGGAACTATGCGCCGATCTTTTCCGTGGAACGCTTGAACCCGTTGAAAAGTCTCTCCGCGACGCTAAGATGGACAAGGCTCAGATCCATGAAATCGTTTTGGTGGGTGGATCCACAAGGATACCAAAGATCCAAAAACTCCTGCAAGACTTCTTCAACGGAAAGGAGCTGAATAAGTCCATCAACCCAGACGAGGCCGTTGCTTATGGAGCTGCTGTCCAGGCGGCTATCTTGGTAGGAGACAAGTCTGAGGCTGTACAGGACCTGCTACTTTTGGACGTAACTCCCCTCTCATTGGGCATTGAAACAGCGGGTGGCGTGATGACCGCTCTCATCAAACGCAACACAACCATTCCCACGAAGCAGACCCAGACGTTCACGACCTATTCCGATAACCAGCCAGGAGTGCTCATCCAAGTGTACGAGGGCGAGCGAGCCATGACCAAGGACAACAATCTCTTGGGGAAATTCGAGCTCGCCGGCATTCCTCCGGCTCCGCGAGGCGTGCCGCAGATCGAAGTCACATTTGACATTGATGCCAACGGCATTCTAAACGTCTCTGCCATTGACAAGTCGACTGGCAAAGAAAACAAGATCACCATAACCAATGACAAGGGTCGTCTCTCCAAGGAAGAGATCGAACGCATGGTTCATGACGCCGAGAAGTACAAGGCGGACGACGAAAAGCAGCGGGAACGCATTTCTGCCAAGAACAGCCTCGAGTCCTACTGCTTCAACATGAAGTCGACAGTGGAGGACGAGAAATTCAAGGATAAGGTCGCCGAGGAAGATCGCAACAAAATCCTTGAAGCCTGCAATGAAACCATCAAGTGGCTTGATGCCAATCAGCTTGGGGAGAAGGACGAATATGAACACAAACAGAAGGAGGTTGAAAATATCTGCAACCCCATCATCTCGAAGATGTACGCGGCTGCAGGAGGAGCCCCAGGCGGTGCCTCAGGAAGAGGTGCATCAGCCAGTGGCCCAACCATCGAGGAGGTCGATTAACTTGATTCATTCCTATTACAGAGACCCCTTTTTCACTGTATACCCCACTTTTTCCTGTCAAAAAATGTTCTATATTCTCAGATTGTATGTATACATGTGGATATTTATTGTTGCAGCTACTTTGAGGAAAGAAGGCATTATTTTTGTGAAAGATATGTTGATAATTGGAAAATCAAGCCGTACATTTTAGTTTGTGAGGAAAAAAAGTGATGAATATATTGGTTTGCTATTATGTTTTCTTTTATATTCAGTGGTTCTTACATTTTCAGTTGCTTGTTCAGGAAAGTTTTCAAAGATTTCAATTTTGTTCTCTATTTATGAATTATATGCTAATCACACCTTAAAGTTACCCAGCCTAGTTTGTAAGATAATTTATTTTTTCTTTATGAATATTGAATGGATAATAACACTTATAACTGATCAAATGTCACTGTCACTTGTCGACTTGCAAATTAATCGTTCAGCCATCTGCAACAAATATTGTCACGTATTTAGGAAAATTTAAGATAAATTGTAAACTCGGATTGCTTTGAAACATTCCATATACCACTTTATTTGATTTTTGGAACAATATAAAAGGAAAAGCTTCATTATTTATTTTTATGAAAGATAACCTGCTTAATTGTTCCAGTGTAAAGGAATTTCATTATTTTTAATGACGTAACTGATTCACTTTAATTTCCAGTGTTTATTTCTGCATACAGCACGTGGTTCACCTAACTTACTTGTTACTGCATGATAGGACCATAAATAATAATTTCATGTTCTGAAACTTTACATTTAGTATTTTGACGCTTCATGGAACAAAGCAAAAGATTCTTGTTTATTTAGGGGTGAATGTGCTTCTTTCGAGAAAAGTACAATATAGCCTTGCAGAACCCTAAACAAAAATAGTAGACGTTCTTAAGAATAACAAGTTATTACAGGAAATTATATATGCAACATTTATTACTATATCATCACAGTTTATTACGTCATTTTGGACCAATAAAGTCTAAAAAGTACAGTGGTTTTCTGTTACCCTTAATACTTCGTGTGGTTTTCTTATTTACACAAGAATTTTATGAGCTTCAGTAAATTGGAAGGCACTTAAAGAAACGAAACAGAAGTCAAAGTTTAATGAGAACACATGTAACTTTTTTTCTTTTCTTTTCTTTTCTTTTTTCGTTTTTTAATAGAGTTAAGGAGTTATTCATACTACTTTGATCAAGTCAGTCTGGTAATAAAAAAGTATGTTGCCTATAATTAACTCTCATGATGGAACAGGTAACGAAACAGTTATATTCCACTTTAATAATACAGTGTGATGTTTCTCTATATACACTGACAAATCCATGGAGCAATTGCTATTATAGGAAAGATTTACTAGCCTCTCAATCTCTATATTCAGGATTGCTAATGTATTACAAAGATACTATTCATATGTCTTGAGAAATGTACTTAAGTACTAGTAATATATATATAAGAAAGCTAAGATTATGATATTTAAAGATGTATATCTAATGACTACGAAAGATTGAAATTAATTACTACCATGTCTGAAGAGTCAAGTACACCACTATTTATTTGATTGTTATGTGGGAATATTGAATAACTGCCTCTCAATCCCTTGCTCATTGTTGTTGTGGGAGGTTTAGGAGACAGGGACTGAGGCCTGCCTTGGTCTCAACTAATTTTTCATTCTCTTTTCTTCTCCTTTCCTATTCCTTTACATGTTCATCCTCTTCTACCCATTTATCCTAATTGTTAACTAGTTTGTTGATTATTCAACATTTTCTGTTGTAATGACATCTGTGCTGCATAAAAAGGAAACTACCTAAATTCAGAAAAATAATGTTTTAGATGTTATTTCATGTATTTTACCAAACACTATTTATGGCTTATGACAGTCTTTAATTTAGAAAAGGCAAACATTGCTGTTAAAGCCTGTTCCCTTTGCTCTTCTGATCATGTGACGAACTGCTTGGGATCAACAATCATAAAACATATATTTTGAAATATGTTTAATGTGCATTTCAGAGAAAAAACAAAGTTCTAAATGTGGACATTCTTAGTCTAAAAGGTTAGTGAAGATACACAAAAGCAAGAGTGATGATAAAACTTTATTTTCATATATTTTTTTATTATAATCTTTTCATAAACTTTCAATACATCTGTAAATCCATACAAGATTTTTTGTTCACATATTATGTCACAAAAACTGTGTGCCATAGAATACTTACATATTATATCATATTCATGCATGATATTACATCTTAAAAAAAAAAACAGAATACTTTATTCTGCCAACTATTTATCCATACAGACATTGCAAAGAGTACAAATGTTTTTTGTTAAGCTTCAGTATAAGAAATTACCAAAGCATAAATGATAATTATAGAATCAGGATGTATTTATTGATATGAAAGAGTGCTATAAGGAAGGCAGATGGAAATGAATGGGTTAGGGGAGGGGGAAAGGAGGAAGGGGAAGGGGAAAGGAGGATGGAGAGAGAGGGGGAGAAAGAAAATAAGACAATGGTGAATGAACAAGTGAGTGTGCATCTGTGTGATCTTTTCATAAATATATATTTAAATGCAGATCTTTAACAAAAAACAGTGTAATGGCACCATGGACAACGCAAAGTGTCTTCCAAATAACCTGAGTGCATATAAAATGTACTATGCAGTTGTTAAAACTATCTACCATATAAATATTCTGTCCTTTTGTGCTTTACGTTTACACACATCAAACAATGAACTTCAGATATACTGAAACATCCACATAAATTTAGGATAACAATAAACTACACAAGGTGATCAACCAAGGCCATAGATTTGCTTGGATGACGCTTACTGTGCAAATGACCCTGATACCTAAGCTCATCGGCGGCTCTTGGACGGAAGTTCAGAGCAGATCTCCCAGGAAATATGTTGTCAATGCTTCGATTCAACTTTGCAAACACATGTTTTGATGTGTCACCTGGAGTCCTCCCTGGCTGAATCTTACTATTAGTTCCTTGATGAGTGACTCTACCACTTTGATGATAATATCTGTCATCATTTTCCTTGTCATCATTCTGCACATTTTTATCTTCTGTCTTCTTGAGTCCTCCCAAAGTGACATGATAAAGGTATGGGTCAGTTTTTGGATCCAGGGGCTTGGGAGCACCACACTCGGCACATATGCTCCTTCCTTCTTTATTTGTCAAGGTCGGCTCCAAGTATAATCTGTCATTCTGCAGGTAGTGATGTACACCTGGAAAATATGTTCTACATTACAAATGGAATATACAGATGAGTGAGTGAGTGAGTGAGTGAGTGAGTGAACAAGAGAGAGAGAGAGAGAGAGAGAGAGAGAGAGAGAGAGAGAGAGAGAGAGAGAGAGAGAGAGAGAGAGAGAGAGAGAGAGAGAGAGAGAGAGAGAGTGAGAGTGAGTGAGTGAGGGAGGAAGAGAGAAAGAGTGAGGGAGGGAGAGAGAAAGAGAGAGGGAGGGAGAGAGAAAGAGAGAGAGTGAAAAAGAGAAAGAGAGAGGGAGAGAGAAAGAGAGGGAGAGGGAGAGGGGGGGAGAGAGAGAGAGAGAGAGAGAGAGAGAGAGAGAGAGAGAGAGAGAGAGAGAGAGAGAGAGAGAGAGAGAGAGAGAGAGAGAGAGAGAGAGAGAGAGAGAGAGAGAGAGAGAGAGAGTGAATGTTAGCAAGCCAGATAACAAGAGAATACAGAGAAAATGCATAATAAATTGTTGTTCCATAAAAGTTCTGAAGTTACTTTTCTGACTTGAATACACTACAATTTTTTTGTACAAAATGTATGCGTATTCTTAAACTTTTAGTATGTATACTTAAGCAAGATAATATAAATGCAAGACACACCAAACCTTTTATTAACATGCTAAAAAATCCATAAAGATACATACATTTATGAGGAGGACCGTCATAATCCCAGTCTCTGTGCCTCTCTGCTCTGCGTGACCGATACTGCCTGAGTTCCTCCAGATCTTCTGCATCCCAAGACTTCCACTTCCGTCTGTGATGAACCAGGTGGTGCTGAAGGAAAGATGATTTATCAGACTCCAATCCACTACTGGCCTTTTTTCTTGAATTATTATCAAGGTGTTAAATACTGTAATGCTTATTAATAGACGGGTAAAAAGAGGATATCTAGAATTATTTATCATTTTACTGGATGATAGGAGACTGGAGTGTAATAAAAAAGAAGTGCATTAAGTGAATAAAACACTTTTGTTTACATCTGCATTGCTTTTAAGCAGGAAATAAACATACTACAGCATAAAAGAGCCTCCTCTTTTTCCTTTGTGCAGTCTTTCCCAAATTTGGTTGAGCTCCTTATGACATCATTTTTTTCCCTTTTCTTTGTAATTTATATACATATAAATATATGATTTATTACCACATAGAATATGAGGATTATACATTTTAGTGCATTATGTATATTTTACTTACATTTTTTGAACATTTTGATTTTCACATATATGCCTGTATTTTATCAACCCTGATGCACCAGAGTAACTACTTAATACATCAGCACAAAGAACACATTTTTCAGTGTACAAAATTAAATTCTTTAATTATTTAAGATAAAATCTGCCCCTGTAAAACTGGGAAAAGTTGGGGTTATCTGCAGCTAAGGGGTAAGATGGGTACAGAAACTGCTGTCTTTAGGGGATAATAACATAGCAGGCATATGTAAGGTCTTGTTGTAGTTGTTTTTGCTGTAAATTAACACTGACTTGTATGTGCATGTGTGTCTATGTGTCGGTGTGTGCAATTTTTGTTAGTTGGAATAATAGACTAAAACTAAATTTGGTGATAATAAGAAGCAACACTTAATAATTGATTATTCATCTAGAAAATAATCATACTTACCAAATAATCCTGATTTCTATACTCTCTTTCAAGTTTTTTCTTCAAGTCTTTCACCAACTCTGTTTTTGGCTCATATGGTATACGATTCCTCTGCAGGATTTCCTCTTCCCCATCTGAGAAAAAAACAGGAACTGACTGCCTCCTATGCAAGGTATTTCTTAAGCCATGATCCCTTGGTATTTTTATGTGTCTGTGATGATATACTGGATCATAAGAATCTAGGTCAGAGGAATCACAATGATAACAGTATCTGTCATCCACAGAATATGAGCGCCAACTCTGTCTTCTGCATAAAGCACACAAGTCATCATTATACCTTTTTCTAGATGGACTAATATTATAGGACCTAGTTCCTGGCTCTCTCACCCCAGCAGGAACAAATTCAGAAGCAGAGTTCATTCGTCTGAACCTTGGGTTAGCAGGATATCTGTCTCTTGGAGATTCACAAAGTATACACCTTTCCTGATGAATTTCATGAACAGGATTCCTGCTCTCTGACACTGAGGAAGTGCTGTCATAATCATTAACATCTTTTTCTGAATAGTCATCGTGGCTTTCTGAATCATGAATTGAATTGTTATGATTATGCCTTCTTTGAAGAGGATCTGGCCTATCATTTCTACCTGTCATTTCTGCATGCTTGGACTTTTCATGCCTGGTCTCATAGTCATCCAGATTAACATCTCTTCTCATTGTATTACGATGGCTGCTCTCTGTATGGATGTTCTCATGTGTTACATCACCAGCATTTGTTTTGTCTGAAAACTGGACTCTCTTCTTTGAAATATCCTCAGTATTTTGTTTATTACTCTCATTTTCATTACTGGGAGTGTCTTCAGATGTCTTTTGTTTGCCTCTACTTTCTTCCATGTCATTCTCCTTGAATGGAAGCTGACTTGGTCTCCAATTTGCATCTAATATTGATATTCCTGCTGCGTTATCTTTAGAAGCATAGATTTTTCTTCCATTGAGCCCACCCCTGGGTACTGTACATGTAGATGTTAAAATGTGACTTGATCCTCTATCATCTGATACTGGTGGTTTACCTTTAACTCTACTCTGTTTAGCCTTATTAGTAGTAGGACCTGAACACTGACATTTTGGTCTCATATGATTACAATTAAGTCTGGTCTTTAGCTGATTTCCCATGACAGTCATTTTTGCATGTGGTCTCAATGGTTCACTACTTTTAGACTTAGTGTGCTTTAGTTTCCTATTAGACTGGGAGATCTGGTTGAAGGAAGGCGAACTGGATAAAGACATCAGCGTGGGTTTTTGTCTTCTTGAGGTGGCATCTACCCTAACTGGACGGAGTTTTTCCGCTCTTCTGAAATAGATTTGTCACAAATTTAAAACATGCTTACTGAGAGTCATCTTGATATTTATATATATTGCCTAGTACAGTCTAAATAAAAATTGATTCATATGCTTTTAATCTTAGATGTAGATACCATTATGCAAAAATACTTATAGATGACTTAAATACAGAAAGAAAGAAATACTTACGTGCTAATTACTGGTCCATAAAATGTAACTTTCTTCTGTGGCTGGACAGACTTCCAGTCAACTCGAGACTTTTCCTGAGGATCTTGCATCTTCTTGGACCTTTGTAAAATAGGCAAATATTACAAGTTACATACATATATATATATTAACTTTTCATGTCAAAAAAAATTGCATTTCACATTAACACCTTGATGACAGGGTGCACTTGAAGCCATCTAGTTAAGAGATGCTGGGCTTAGTTCAGCTTTGTCTATACCTCTATACTGTCCACTGCATGAGACCTCCTCGCACACCACAGAGTTTAAGGAGTAATGACTTACCATTATAAATGTTTCCTTTCATATACCAAGCAGTCCAACTGGCCTGAATCTCAAAACAAATCCAGAGGTAACATCCCCAAATTACAAAATTAACAGGGATAAATCTGTAAACTTGGACTTCTGTGATAAGACCTGCTAGTGAATATTGATTACCACCAAAAGTATACTTAGACCTCTATGTATCTCTTTCACAAAGCTTTTTTTCTTTCTATCTAACACTATTGTACTTTACATAACTTGAAATTAGTAAATGAGTTCTGATACTCATATATACCATCCCGACATACAATTTCAGGTCCGTTTTGGCTGTTGGTTCATCTTTTATGCATTCGCCAATTACCCACTCTTACGAATTAGAAGGTCAACTTACCAGTCACCTCTAATACATTTACCACAAGTATACATCACACATCCACGTCGGTAAACCCCAAAAACCCGTGTGTATTGCAGTATTAAGTTCAAACTTCCCACCCAAAAAAAAAACTCTCAAGACTAACGCATCCCAGACACTATGAGTCAACCCCAAACACAATTCAAATTCGAAACGTCAGCCGTTCTAATATAACACCCCCATATTTTCCCCCCTATGTTACACCTTCATCTATACACATAACACATATTCTCATCTAAACATGACCAAATCCCACCTCCTCTCTCGGTAAACAGTTTAAAGTAACGTTAAAAATTCCTCGAAACGTCACCTACCTGTCAACGCTTCCCAGTCAGCCAGCGAAACTATTTGTTTGTTTACGTTCGGGCGTTCGTGTAGCGCGGCGGCCGAGTGAATGCGCATGCAGGCTTCGTGAGAGGGGCTAAAGAGGACCTAATGAATAAAATCGATGTAATAAATTCGTTTAGTTCCTGTTTCTGTTTGTTTTTTGTGTTTTTTTTAACATTATAACTCATTGTTTTTGTTGTTATAGAGATTGATATTATTGTATTTTTTTTATGATCAGTTCTATCTCTTATGGTTTGCATTTTGGATGATATGATCATTTGTTATTATGCAATTACTAATATGATCAATGTACATTTTAATGAATTACTAGGATGAACAACAAAAGAATACTTAAAAGAAACAAAGAACACGGTACTGGGAGTCATTTTTACAAAGTGACATGTACAATATAGTGAAGACTCAGAAAAGCCAAAGGATGGTGAAAAAAAGTTACTTTTATATTTTTCGAATAAAATCCAGAATATCATACTGGGTATACATGATATACACGTGATGAAGTGTATTCAATTTTCATTACATGGAATGGAGAACACAGGAATTAGGGAAACTGGAAAATAATTGACTAAAAGTTTGTTTATACAAATCATATAGAACAAAAGCGTTAACAATAACTACATTAAACTGAAAATAATCTGTTAAAGTAAAACTGTCTGATAACAAAAATCCAAGCATGTAAGTGTAATTCTTTACAATAAAGAAAAACACTTTGTTTACATTCACAAAATGGTTATACTTTTCATGTTATCTGATAATTTCACTGTTATAAACAGTCTTCAGCTTTAGTACTGTTGCTCTTATTAATGCTCTGATTTTAATGTCCTGTGGGACTTTTAACTACACAAAGTGCAAAAGTAATGATACCTATTTAAACACAGTTGCAGTCCCCAAACAGTGACCTCTACCAAAAAGATAAGTAGGGTCCTCAAAGTAAGGTCATCAAAGGACACATGGCTGAGATCTAGAAATGAGGATAAATCTAGTATAAGTATATCTAACTTACATATAACTTATTTTCCAAATGAATATCACTGTTTGGAGAATGACAAATTGTCAAGTGCTGTCCTCCCAAGTCCTGTGGATCCCAAAGTGACCGCACTTGTATTGTCTTCCTCTGTCTACTGATGGGAATTGAGATCTCGGGAAATATGTTCTTGTGTTGTCATACTTACTGAAAAATGTTTGGACTATTTCAACACTGAAAAATTGGGCTTGCTCCTAGATCTATAGAATAATTGTGCTGAATCAGTTGCTAGGGTGAAAAGCATGAATTCACAGTGCAACTGGCAGTGTCTGTGTACAAAATTCTCCATTTCCATGTATATATGGTTACAGTAAAAATGTGTAGTGACTTAAAATGTAGATAAAAGTACAGTACTTGTCAATTGTAAATTGTAAATCTTTTAAGTGTTCCTCTTTCTAATAGTATAGGAAGCTTAACATTCATAAAAAGAGAATTACTGGATTTTATAAACATTATTTACTGCACTTAAGCATTACTCAAGTTACAGCTAAGTTTCTTACTCCTTGGCCTTTGTGTACTATAGCTAACATTTTAACACTAAGCACAAAAAACAATGAATATCATTAGCGAGTTTCTTCTATCATCAAGATTAGGAAAGGGGCATAAAGGACAAAAGCATTAACTAACAATAACTACATTAAACTGAAGATAATCTGTTAAAGTAAAACTGTCTGACAACAAAAATCCAAGCATGTAAGTGTATTTCTTTACAATAAAGAAAAACACTTTGTTTACATTCACAAAAAGGTTATACTTTTCATGTTATCAGATAATTTCACTGTTATAAACAGTCTTCAGCTTTAGTACTGTTGCTCTTATTAATGCTCTGATTTTAATGTCCTGTGGGACTTTTAACTACACAAAGTGCAAAAGTAATGATACCTATTTAAACACAGTTGCAGTCCCCAAACAGTGACCTCTACCAAAAAGATAAGTAGGGTCCTCAAAGTAAGGTCATCAAAGGACTCTAGTATAAATCTAGTATAAAGAGACAAAAATCTTGAAGAAAAAGAAACCAGCAAACTGATTAACTTTCATTAAAAGTCCAGAAGAGTTGATTAATGACAGTGTAAACTGGGTATGTATATCTAACTTACATATAACTTATTTTCCAAATGAATATCACTGTTTGGAGAATGACAAATTGTCAAGTGCTGTCCTCCCAAGTCTGTGGATCCCAAAGTGACCGCACTTGTATTGTCTTCCTCTGTCTATGATGGGAATTGAGATCTCGGGAAATATGTTCTTGTGTTGTCATACTTACTGAAAAATGTTTGGACTATTTCAACACTGAAAAATTGGGCTTGCTCCTAGATCTATAGAATAATTGTGCTGAATCAGTTGCTAGGGTGAAAAGCATGAATTCACAGTGCAACTGGCAGTGTCTGTGTACAAAATTCTCCATTTCCATGTACATATGGTTACAGTAAAAATGTGTAGTGACTTAAAATGTAGATAAAAGTACAGTACTTGTCAATTGTAAATTGTAAATCTTTTAAGTGTTCCTCTTTCTAATAGTATAGGAAGCTTAACATTCATAAAAAGAGAATTACTGGATTTTATAAACATTATTTACTGCACTTAAGCATTACTCAAGTTACAGCTAAGTTTCTTACTCCTTGGCCTTTGTGTACTATAGCTAACATTTTAACACTAAGCACAAAAAACAATGAATATCATTAGCGAGTTTCTTCTATCATCAAGATTAGGAATAGGGGCATAAAAGGAAAAAAAAAACACATACAGCCACTCTTTACTTTATTAGCTAAAGGAAGCCATGAATTTCCTGTCATCTGAAAACAACACAAATTATATTTTCTTTAAAACTCACTGGTAAAAAGAGATGATCTTTACAGTACGAAACTTTTCATAAAGTATCAATAAGCAAACTAAATCTGAACTCTACATATGTAAAGAATAATAATCACCCACACATATACAACAAAACAATACATATAAATAATCTATTTAACCTTAATTACAGAAAGAAAAAGAAAAATCATTAGTGTTTCCTCTGGTAAAATCATGGATCCTTAAATATCCTTCCAACAAAATAGAAATAAATCAAAATATAGAATAAATGTCTTTAAAATCCATAAATATATTTCATAGACTATTCACATACACCTCCTGTAAAGTAATCAATACTCTTGATACTTAGGCAATCTTACAATTATATCTATCTCCTGTAACCAGTAACTGACAAAATACAATGAACACAGTGTGTTTATCCTACTTTCCAGTTGGATCATCTATACACAGAAATGCAGTATTTACAAACAATCAAGAAAGAAAAAAATATATATAGTTTGTTTCTTCTCATAGTTTCATAATAAGCAAGCACAAATACTTATTACTGAAAGCAAAGAAGTTCATCAATATTCACTCGGGCAAAAGCATACAGACTGCAGCAGTATACCCATTCTTCTTGTAACTACTTTGAGTGCACCTACACCTGGTTGTGTTGCTCCCATATATGTTATTTTCTGCATCACTTTACTACTAATACAGTTTTCTAAATAAGAGAAAGATACAATAATTTGAATTGTGTGACATGTTTTGAAAACACATTTTTCTCTAAGTTTGTTATCTATTAAGCACATTACAACTGTTTATATCTGCCTGGCCTACAGCTACTTTTCTGCCAAAAAATGTTATATAATTTTGGAATGAATCTGGAATTTTTTATATTGCTATTATAACCACAAGATCATAAAGTAACTTAATACTCAAAAGGTTATCTATTATATATTTATATATATTAAAAATACCATAACAAGCAGCTAAACACCTGTACCAAATATAAATAAAGCACAAAAGATTTAAGGCAACCATCTAACTTTAGTATTTTTTCCCCCACTGTTAATTAGCTTTTTCTCATTTTTTTCTATGCTGATTACTTATATTGATAAGAGGCTGTATACCCCTATTGAAAGCTGTTGAATTTGAGGACATAATTAAAAAGCAGTTTCAAGCTAACTGATTTTAGTTTCTTTTATATTTTGAACATCTTTAAGTGCATTCAGAGGATATAGCATACACACTCACAGATATAGTCTCATCTGAACAAGAGAACACTCCTCATGTAAAGCTGTACTTATATAGGGTTCATTACCAGAGATCACTTGCCTAACAATCTGTAAACCAAGTGGCATGCCAGTGCTTAGAGCCTGTCCACACAAATGAACCGCAGTCAGTAGTCTGTCTCTCTGCCACAGGAGAAAGTCAGTAGACAGTTGTTGTTGTCCATGTAGCAGTGTCTGGCCAAAGTCTGGTAAGCTTTGCTTTCCATCATCCCTACACTGTCTGCCCTCCTCTCCCTCATCCCTTTCATTAAATAATGTAGGACTATCAATATCAAGACATGCTGTCCTCTGTTTTCTAATTACTTGTTTCTGTAAATGCAAATATTACCATTTACTTGCTATTACTGGCAAAAAGAATGGCAAATACCATGTCTGGAAGTGCAACTCTGTATGGGCAATGCCTAGTACTTTCACTCCAGCTCTTACACAAGCATTTTCTTTTGAGTCAGTGAAAATGAATTCTTGATTGTGTTCACAAGACACTGTTCACTTAAGTGGACAGGGTTTACAGCACCTTTTTAAATTTACTATAGAAATTAATCAGACTAAGAATTTTGCATACATACATGGATGCAAGAGAAAAAAATTATAATTGTTCAACCTATTACTACTACTAAAAACAAAGAAAAAAAGTCAGAAAGAAAGGAAAACTGGTTTTGCATGTTATGAAGGCAGTCTTTAACCCCATTTTGTGTTCTTATGACCGATAAGCAAGTGAAACAGTATGAGCAAGTTACTTATTGTATCTTTTTGAACTCTATAATAGGAGTGTGTGTAAAGAAGGCTATGCAGTTAATACTTTAAGCACATATTTTAGTTTGCAATTTCTAGCAGACAAAAGAGGAGTTCAAATAAAAAAACAACATCTTGAAGCCTTTCCAGACAAGTCA